CAAATTACCAAAATAATGTTAACTAACTAGTTAAGTTAGATTACAGCTTTCGAATATTTAGTATACGTAAATATTTGACACTTTGTTAATATTAGTTTTACATTAAATAACAATAAAACATTATCCACCAAAAATAAAAACAAAAAAAAATAGAAATAAATTAATAAAATTAAAAAGAACATTTATTAGTTCTTATTTCTCGTGGTATTTACAGTTCCTCGTTCTACCAGTGCGGTGGTACTACTTCTGCAGTGGGGAGAGGGGAACGCAGTTACTGGCAGCGACGTTATTTTGCCTATGCATTGCGTGTCTTGTTAATTTTATCAGTCAACGCTTAAGGTACCTTTACACTATTCGATTCGATTCGATTTTACATTCGATTTTCAATTCGAGTTGAATATGAGCGACTTCACATTCTCCGATTTTCAATTCGAGACATCCGGTCCGAGATAACTTTCGAGATTCGGTTCGATTTTTGAACAATAGGACGGTGTCTATTTTCTTCCGAGATCTCATTTGATTTGCTGATATGAGCATGCGCAGTGGAGTCTATTTCAATAGATAGCGTATTTAAACTAAGATTAGAACTAAAACTAGAACTAACACTAGAAACTTTCGGGTTTTGCCGTGCGTCTTTTAATAAAAGGTTTGACGTTTCGGATGCCATGTTGCAACCTTCTTCAGAAACTGGTTCGAAGTGGTTCACTTCGAACCAGTTTCTGAATAAATAACCGTAACCGAATCCGAAATAAAAGTTTCGGATAATATCGGATAGGGGCGGAGCCTAATTGAGACACGTTATGACAAGTTGTTTTGATCGGCCGGCCGCTGCCGCTGCCAGTGCCGACACACAAGCCGCGCGCATTGATTATTCTTTCTTCTTTTGTCATCATAACATTCTCGTAAATAACTGACTTGTGAATTTGTGACCAATTTTACAACGGCAAATAGTTCGACAAATGTGTTGTGTTACGAAATCGATTGAATTTGTACAAAATGCGTCCTAAATCGAGTGTAATTTGGTCATTTTTTGATGAAATGACGGTCGATTCCGCAAAATGTATAGTTTCCGATATTTCTGGTGGTTTTTATGACTTAATTGCAGTCATATAACGAACAAACATGGGGTTGTATACAGGTAGTTTACGAACCCCAAACTCTGGCGTGAGTTGTTCAGGTCCACATTAACGAAAATTTCAATAACATAATATTTAAAAACTTAAATATCATTACTTTGTGTGAAAATACAACAATTTATTTAAATCTATCTAAAAAGTACATTTGCTTAAATAATTTATGATTATTATTATAAAATTTATTATCTTTTCACACTAATTCTAAGATAATTATAAAAAATATGTTTTAATTTTTATATTATAAATTAATACTTGCTTTTTTTTGTAAAATCATTTAAGTATAAGTAAATTTATATTCTTTACTACATTTCTGTTTTATTTTGTTGAATTTAAAATAAAATAAAAAAGAAGTGCGTCCCTGGACCTAGTTCCCTAGGAGGACCTATCATAAATCATGTCCAG